GTTTCTTTTTATTATTATTTTTTATTATTTACATTACTTTGATACATTTTCTTTTTTGTAAGTAATATTTCTTAATACCAACAAGTATCTTTTAAATATTATTTCATTCACAAAAACGTTAATTATTATAAACTACATTTATTTAATACTACAAATTATATACGTTATATAATACAGAAGGAAAAAAAAATACAATTACATTAATACTTAAAAGGAAGTGAGAATTGTTGTTAATTATAAATAATATATATTTACATATTATACGATTAAATATTTTTCTTAAAATGTAAACATTTTATTATTATTATTATTATTATTATTATTATTATTATTATTATTATTATTATTATTATTATTATTATTATTAAAATTACTTTGATTTATTTTATTTTTTTTTTGTCTATTTTTCTTTTGCAAGTAATATTTCTTAATATCAAACTAATATCTATTATAAATATTACTTAAGTCACAAAACGTTAATTTATTTGATAATCTACATTTATATTTACAAATTACAAATGAAATTATTTTCTATAATACAGAAGGAAAAAAAAAAAAAAAAGGAAAATACGATTAAATTAATACTTAAAAAGAAGTCAGAATTTGTGTCATTTATAAATAATACCATTTACATAATACGATGAAATATTTCCTAGAAAATAAGGAAAATAAAAAAGAATAATAAATAATTGAGATCAAATCAGAGAGTTTCCTCCGTTGTTTTTTCTTTTTCTTTTTCTTTTCTTTTTTCATTTTAACGAAAATAAAAAGAAATAAAAATAAAAATAAAAATAAAATAGAAATATAAGAAAGAAAGAAAGAAAAGAATAGAAATAAATATCGAAGAAATATGTAAAAAAAAAAAAAAAACAAGAAAACGGTGAATTTCTCGCTACTTCAATTTTCCATAGACGAAATTTCGACGTCATTCGTGCTGACCCAACGGTCAAATGTTGAATTCGTGAATTTATATTTCCCCATACATTTTCTCATCCCTTTCATAACATTTTCTATGGCAATTCTGATTCTCCTACCACTTCGATACCGTAATCCTCGTTCGTTCATTCCTTCCTTCCTTCCTTCCTTCCTTCCTTCATTTTCGAACAAGCAAGTAGTCAAAATATAAAAAAAAACCATGGAATAATAAAACCAAGGATCAAACCATTTTCTTCGCGAGACGTTGACGAGATAATAAAATAAAATAAAATAAAAAAAAAAAACACAAGAAGAAGATGAAGTCAATCGAATTTAAATACATCGAAAAATCATTTTCCCGTACGTTTTCTTTTTTCCGCAACAGTTGTGCAATAAAAAATTCATTCTCTACGTCATACTTAACGTCCATCATATCATTCCATTTCCTTTTTTTCTTTTTTTATTCGTCAAGTTTTTCTTTTTTTTTTTTTTTGGATGAGAAAAAAGGTCTCTTTTTTTTCACTACTAGTCACTAAATTCTATCTCGTGCAAGAAAGTTATCTCAATTTCGTAATTGCAAAAGTAGTCTTTTACCTCTCACTTACTCCTGCATATAAAAAGACATAAAAAGTTAGAAAAAGAATATAACCAAGTCGAGTTGAGTTGAATTGAGTTTTTCCCCGTAACATTACGATTTCACAAGATGTATTACACAACGTAAATGTTAATGAATTTCACGAGAACAAACACGAGTTAACAAGAGTAAGAGAGAGAGAGTGAGACACACAGAAAAACATATACATATATATATATATATATATAGTCCAAGTGCATCACGAATGCAAAATCATGCAGACGACTTATTAAACGAACAAACGATGAACATAATAACCTTGAGACTGTTGAAAAATCTTTAATCAGAATATTATCGGTGAGATCATCTTGAAATGAAACTAATCCGTACCAGCTAAAGTAGTTCCATTGTGATCCTTGGATTTAATACAAAAACAGAATCTGTTAGCAATCTTATGTCTGATATCCTTTCTTGCTAACAACATGAACAACCAAAGTATAGGTTGAATTAGTCTACAGAGCTTTAAAATGACCAACTTGTTGAGACACGCTAAAAGTGATCCAAAGAACCACGGTGCACCCATGAACAGATATAGTCTTAAGAATAAGAAATATTTCTTGGTTAATGCACTACTTTGATTTTTCGTAGCTATCTCAGTGCTACGTTGAATTCGTACGATTTTGTACGTCGTAAAAAGGAATAATACGTTGTTGCAAAACAATGTTATTAATGGTAATGCGAAAAAGTAGAGATTCACTATTGGATTAGGACCTAAACAATATCTAACGTAATTAGGTTTCATCGGAAAGTTCTTTGGTATTCCTGGTGTATATTCGAAGATTGCAGCAACCACTGTTGGTAATAATGCACCACCCCATGCGAAAACGGAATAGATTAATATTCTCTTGTATTTGTCTTTTTCTTTGTTACCACTGAGTCCTACGGTCCAACGGAATCTCGTGATGCACAATGTCATATCAAAACAGATCACATTTAACCAAAAGAACGTAGCAACGGTGAAAAATTGTAAGGAAAGCCAGAGAATGATTACAAGATTATCGGCCAATGGATATTTGCAATAACACAAGTAGGATAATATACAACCCAATCCCAATAAGGATATATTGTGTTGAAGAACCGAATGGTTGTAGTTACCTTTACGTAATTCTGGTATGAACAAATATATTAACACTACGATGATACTTATTATCATATGAGCAGCATTCGTTGCCATATATGATCGAGAACCCCAAAATACGAGATCCCATTTTTTAATACTATCCTCGTCATTACATATCTTCGCCGTTTCGTTATATGTTTTTGTTTTCATCATTGAAACGATCGACGTGTTTTCATTCACTTTGGACAATCCTGGACACCTGGCCAACACTTGTGTCCTATTCATCGTAGTTTCGAGACAGTAATCGTTTGGGAAATCATCCGTCGTATAAGTCCAAGAATTGTTGGCTCCATTTTCTATCCATATGATAGCAACCATCTTGCAGGGTAGCTCATAAGCACGTATTTCCGTTCCCATTTCCTCCGAAAAATCATCATCCTTAATGACCTTAACGCAAGTCATCAACTCATCGTCAAAAAGATAATCCTCTATGCAACATTTTCTTGGCAAATCTATCTGATTATATTCGTTCCATTTAATTAAACGTTTAACTGGTATTGCATTAATATTTGCAACAAATATGAGGAAACTCGTAAGGATGATCGTGTTACGTACGTGCATCTTCTTCGATACATTAACCGATACTGACGACAATAATTAGCGAGCATAGTTTCATACAATATATATGAATCATTCCACATTCTCAGATTTTTAACCAATAGTGTGCATTATTCTAATCGTTTCTATACTTATATATATATAAATGCAAGTGTAAGTGTCATAAATGCATATATATGTTTATATGTGTATGTGTGTGTGTGTGTGTGTGTGTTTGTGTTTAGAGGAACTCCTTGAAGAAACATTTTCCTGCTATTATTCGATTTTTTTCTTTTTCACAACATTTTTCATTAAAAATAGAACTTATTATTTTTCTTATGTTAGTATTAATCATTCGAGAGAGAAAATGTATAAATACATAAATTATAATCGATATACATAACCAATCATTACTCCTTTTTTATCAATTTTATTAATTTCAATTGAATTAATCTTATTTTTTTTTTTTTTTTTATGGAACATAGATAATTATTATATATACTTACTATTCGTTTTTTATTGATTTTAAAATTATCATTGTATATATCATTGGATTATTTGTTCTATTGATCAAGTATTTACCTTCAAGCATATACACTGAACGAGTAAATATATCTAACCAGTGGATTATCAGGTAAGGCCCACTCTGATTTTTTTCAAATTGTGCACACTTATAATTGTCTATGAAAAATGTTTATTATTTATTTAAATTTGTCGTATATATTAAGTCATTTGCAAAAAAAAAAACGTGAATGGAAATATCACTTAGATTCTTATTCATTTAAGTGTAGTTGTGTATTAGTTTATGGTTAATGAAGCTGTGTGTGTCCAAAAAGTAACCGATATTAACTGTAAAATTCTTCTAGAAAATCGTGAAATATTTAATTTTTCGGGTATATGAAATATTAATTTAAATATTAATTTGGTTAAAACAAATATTTACAGTTATTCTTGTTATAGAATTTCAAATAACAATGTATATGCATATTTAGTATTTGTGTGTGCCTTCAGAAATGCCATTATACATACATATATTCAAAATGAAACAATTTTAAGAACTAAAACAGAAAAAGATCTTAAAGGTTTGTTGTTAAATCCAACGATGATCACCTGTAACAAAAAGAAAACTATATTAATTATACAATCAAGTGAGATACAATAGCCTGACATATGAATCGTCCAATTCGCAGATGCACTTTTCAAACTGAATTCTCTATTTATTTCTTTCAAATCTATATTTAAAGTTGCAATAAAATTAAATTTAAACGCGTGATTTTACATTTATAAAAAATAAAAAAAAATAAAAGCAAAAGTACAAATATTAAGTTACTAGAGAAAATAATATCTATTAATTATTATAACTAATACTTTTAAACTGCATTATATAGAAAAGAAAAAATTACAAATTTAATAAAATGCGATTAAAGTGACAAATCTTGAAGACAAAAAACAAAGAGAGATTACTTTAATATTTAAAAGACGATAATTAGGTTTCAAAATTTAATAAAAATGGAATTTAAATATTTTGACTCGAGCTAATTAAACACATATGCATCTTTTTGACGATATAGACACGAATTTAGTGTCCCAAGGAGATGGAATGGTCCATCATCTCCAATTACAACTAGAAATTAATGACGAGCAAAAAAGTAAAACAATAAAATATAAAATATGACTAGAGAGCCATTCTCTAAAGGTTCAAACTTGCTGTTGAACCTTTGAAAATAACTCAATAGCCT